CTTGTTTTTGTTCGTTTGTTTGCTTGTTTTGTTTTCTGTACCAGGGATTGAACTCTGGACTTTCTGCTTGTGAGGCAGGCAACCAAACCACCGAACTAAATCCCTGACCCCTAATATAGTTGTTTTTTTGTTTTATTTTTATTGAGTTTATTGGTACATTCTAGATATACAGTACAGTTACATTCATTACTGGGATCTTGTACCTTTACATGACAGGTCTTGGTTTGCATTTTTTTTCCCCTTGTCCCTGCCCTCCCTTCACCCCCTCCTCCCCTCCCCATTTACAAACACTTTATTTCCATTTTTTCATTTTCTCATGTTTTTTCTTTCCCTTATTCCCTTTCCCCTACCCTTCCCACTTTCTCTACACCTTTAGCCCTTTTCTTCCTATTTCACATTGTTAATTACCTCATTACGATCTTGTGTACTATAGTTTTTCACACCAGAGAAACTATTTGGCATTTACACATGTAATTTATTTCACTTAAGAGTGTATCCTCAAAATGTATCCATTTTCCTATGAATGAGTCTAATTTCTCATTCTTTTTGGCTGAGTAGTATTCCATTTTATAGAAAAAACACATCTTCTTTATCCAGTCTCCAACTGATGGGCAGATGCGCTGTTTCCAAGTTTCAGCTATTACAAAATGTGCTGCTATAAACATAGGTGTGCATATGTCACTGTGATATGATTCTTTTAATTCTTTTGGAAAGATAACCAGCAGAGGGATGGCTGGGTCAAATGGAACCTCCAGTCCAAGCTCTTTGAGGTATCTCCATATTGATTTCCATAGTGGTTGCACCAGTCTGCACTCCCACCAACAATGGAGAAGGGTTCCTTTCTCCCCACAACCCCACTGACATTTGTTATTGTGTGATTTCTTGATAGCAGCCCTTCTTTGTGGGGTGAGGTAGAATCTCAGTGTGTAGTACAGTTGTTTTTAATTGGTTTTTACTGTATGTCAATATCAGGTTTGTCTTTGTGTCACCATCATTACTGTTGCTTACTTTCCAGTCTCTGAGTAGGGTACTGTTAATCAAGAACTCAAAAGAAAGCTGTACACTAAAAAGATCCCAAAATAAAAGGGGAAGAGATCCATTCAAACAAATCTACAAATATCAACATAAAAACACAGAAAGTATGAAAAAGCAAGGAAACACAACTCCTTCAAAGATCCATAACCTGTCAGTAAGCAAATGCAAAATATCAAAATCAATGAAATGTCAGACAAAAAATTCAAAAGACTGATTTTTAAAATTATTGATGACTTCAAGTTGGATACAAATAAATACCTGAATGAATTAAAAAAGACAATGCAGGACATGAAGGAGTGATTCTGCAAACAATTTAGAAGTTCAGACAGAGAACCAAGAAGAAATCTTGAAATGAAAATCAGAATAAGTCAAATCATAAACTCAGTGCAAAACTTCACCCATAGACAAGATGTATCAAATGACTGAATTTCAGGGTTTGAAGATAAGATTGAAAAATGACTACACATATGCGAATAAAAAACCCTCAAAATTATGAGTAAAACATTCAAGAACTATGAGACAAAATTCAAAGACCAAACTATGAACCATTAGTGCAAAAGAAGGTGCCAAGATTCAGATGAATGGCATAGAAAATCTATTTAATGAAAATACAAGTATCTTCACAAATCCTTTAAAAAAATTACAGACATCCAGATAAAGGAGGCATTTAGAACCCCAAACAAGCACAACTAGGAAAAAACTTCCCCATGTCACAATGTACTTAAAATGTCAAGAATACAGAACAAGGGAAGAATATTAAAAGCAAGAGAGAAATATTTCATCACTTACAAAAACAACCTATCAGAAAAATGTCATACTTCTCTTCAGAAACCATTAAGGCTAAGAGGGCATAAAATGATGTGTTTAAAAACCTGAAAACACAAACTACCAACCTAGATTACTATATCCAACAAAGCTATCATTCAGGAAAACAAAGAGCTTCCAAGATAAGCATAAACTAAAAAGACCCATAACCACGAAGTCAGACTGTAGAATGTACATACAAAAGAGGAAGAGTAAATAAGCTACTGAAAATTAAGAAAAAAAATCAAACAAAATAACAAGAATTAGTATGTACTATTCTATAATAACTCTGAATGTGTAGTGGTCTTATTTCTCCAATTACAAAACACTGGCTGGCAGATCAGATTTTTAAAAAGACTCCTTGCTGCCTACAACAAACACACATTACTGGCAAAGACATACACAGACTGACATACACCATGCACTCTGTATGAAAAAAAAATCAAAAGCATTAAAGGTAGCTACACTCATAACTAAGACAAAATTTTGAAGACAAAATTAGTCAGATGAGACAAAGAAGGCCACAACATATTGGTAAAAGGAGGAGCAATCCACCAAGAAGATATAACAATCATAATATATGCATACATAATCTCAAACATCAGTAAGTCTAATTTCATACCTCATATACTTCTCTAGGGTATATGAAAATATCCTTAACTAACACAATTCAGGTAGACACATGTGAATGCTCAGATAATTTAAAAAATTATAAAGGAGGTTAAAGTGGCAAAAACACTATTCCTAATATTAATAAAAAAGTTGAACCAAGTGGTCTTCACTATGCTTTTCTTCTACTACTTCTACAATTATCACTAACAAAAAGGCTGAGATTTTCTTAGCAAAAATTGTGTTGAAATTATCAGTCACTGTATACAGGCAAAATTCAAGTAATGTCAGAGTAAACATACATTGAATGACTTGTGGATAGAAGCAAACATTCTCATCCTTGGTGTAAATGACTGGCTTTGCTCGTCCATCTGGCTGAAGTCCAATAAACAACCCAGGACTCTTTGTAGATTCCAGGCTTATAGATGCATTTTCCAAGTTCTTCTTAATTTTAAAATGACAGTCATTGTCTCCAGTACCCTAAAATCAATTCAACATTGTTTCATAAATGACAGCAGACACTGAAGGACAGAATTAAGACTGCTCTCTAGAACATAATTTTACTTCATTTTCAAATAATCTTGGAATACCCAGAATCCTTTTTGCAAAAACTGCATCCTGCTCCATAAAGTACAGAAATAGAGATCATAATATGGTCTGAGTCTAGGGCATATCCTATGAATAAAGTACTCTGAATCAAAGAGGACCTTCAAATAAAGAGTATGAGTATGAAGTAAGAAACTTCAGTTTCTTAAGTGAAACTACAGCATTAAAATGTGAAATATTCCTTTTAGAAATATAGTCGTGCATTGCTTGATGACAGGAATATGTTCTGAAAAATGTATCATTAGGCTATTTTGACATTATTCAAATGTTACAGAATGCATTTACACAAACCTACATGTATAGCATACAACACACCTAGACTTTGTGTGTGTGTGTGTGTATGTGTGTGTGTGTGTGTGGCCTATAGCCTACTGCTCTTAGGGCCATGATGAACTAAAAAACATAAAATTAAGCCAAGAACAAGAAAAATGTATGCAATTGAAAGACATACTAAATATAAGATTACATAACACCTCACACCATTTTATACTAAACTTTTAAAAGTAAGAGTAACTCTAAAATAACAATTAAAATATAGTAAGGACATAAACCAGTTAAGTACACCATCTTATTATGCCACCATCATATAGGCAGTCTGACATTGACCAAAATAGCACTATGTCACACATACCTACACTCTAAAATTATACAAAGGGGGAAATTTTATTACAGGTCTATTTATTCTTATATTTAAATATAAAACAATTTTCTGTATTAGTCTGCATTTTCCTGATAGAATTTTCATAAACAGATAAAAATAGAAACAGAGATAAATTAATGAAAGAATATATACCAAAATATTAAATAATTAGGTACTTAAGAGTAATCTATAACCTTCAGATCATTATAATCACCTCTCCTTTTTTAAGGCATTTGTTACTTAACACTAGCAAACATTTCACTACTCATTTCTTTGAAAGTTTTCTTACAGGATTTCAAAGTTATTAAAATGAGTTTTATGAGAATTCAACTATTCTTTACCAAGTATTATTTGTAACAGAAAGTATACTCTGTCCTCATATCAAACATGAGTTTGTTGTAAGAACCAAGTGTTTGTCCATCTCCCTCTCTCCCTCCTCTCTCATTTTATAAACATGAACACCCTCTAACTTCTGTTCTTGTTATGGCTACAGTAAAACTCTGGCCTTGATTTATTTGTTCATGGTTATCACAAAGAACTATATATATATTATATAT